AAGGGAAATTATGATTATTGTAGAAAATGAAAGACTATTCTAGAAACTTTTTAGCTTGATATATATAGGAGACATTTTTCTTTCGTATTACCTTTTAAGTCATCAGTGATCTTTTAAGTCATCAATATATTTGGAGTATTATTCAACTTGGAAATTAAGTGATTTATTGGAGCTTGGATTATTTTGAAATAGTTAAAATTATTCTTGTGGATTTTATTGTGGGAATTTATTCTAAAGTGTTCTTGGATTTTACTTGAATTTAAATGTGCTATTCAAAAAAGGATCATTCCAGGATCAGACTAGACATTTGTGATTTCATTTAATTTGGACTTCAGGTATTTGTACACATAATTTGTTGTTTTAATTTCTTTAATATTTTTTTTCTGTAATAAATTTGTTATTGTTACAAGTTTGTTGCTGGCTTTTCTTTCTCGTTACGCCTGGCTCGTAACACAGTCTATGCAACACATGGTTAATAACGTGATTACAATGGATTTCCAGTGATGCTAATCCGGGCAAGCTCTGTTTTAGTCATTGTGATTGTGTTCAGAACAAATACATAACTCTTTCAGTCTAAGCCTTCTTTTACTTCTGCCAATAGATTATCGATGAAAGAGATATAATATTATTCTACATGTTTCTTTCACAGTATCTGCTGCAAGACAAGGTCGTTGAATTGAAAATGCTTAGCAACAAATCTTTTCAGGTGACTGGAATATCTTTTTTTGCATATTGAGATTCACAGTTGTCTTCAACACCTGATTGTTAGTGTAAAGCATATAATATATTTATTTTAGAAAGTAACTTACAAAGCAAAAAGTACAGTTATACTTTATCATATTCCAGTTTATTCCTGTATTTCGTAAATATTATAAATGAAATATTTAGAAACATTGCTGAAATAAAATGCGTATTTTCCTTTTCCGTATTGTCACTATAAATTCACTGGTATCTTGCCTTACTATTTTTTTTTTTAAATTCAACCCTTACACAAAACCTAATGGGATGTCTTTCGGATCGTTTTTTTAAAAAAGAAGAAAAAAGTATATAATGAACAGAAAACATGAGTTTTGAATATGAATATGAATATTGAGTGTGTCGGGGGCCGCGTCCTGTGAACGTTGCCTTTGCCTTGTTGATCTTTATTCTTGTTTTTTTTTACTCTAAATACAGGATCTATTTTATATCAAGGTATGAAAATTATCATGTTTTACTGGTGTCGACCACCAACCATAAGATATTTGTTTTCATATTCTATGAAAATAAATCCAGTATTTATTGAAAAAAACTTGAATCTTCTCTACATTTATACTGATTTATACATATTGTCCTTTAACAGTGTATATTATATCGTTTTTATACTGATATTAACATTGTGTTATATTTCAACAAGGAGAAAGCAACGCCATCGAAGGTAAAATTTCTACGATAAGTTTACCATACTGTTAGAGCTTTATTTATTTCTAGTTTGCATGATAAAAATTCAGTTTCGATGTGTCATTACTAATTGTAATTTAGATGTGTCATTTCTCATTGAATGTTTATTTGGACTTTTTAATTAACATTAAGTCAAGTATTTCAGTACCGTCCAAACAAAATCAAGTTTGTTTTATTTAGCATGTTATTACAGTTAAATTTTAAAACATGTGTAGTCTTTGTAAGATATACCAGTATTCGTGCACTAAATCATATAGAGTTTATATTTTATGTTCTTCTAGGTACACGGTCGCCATCACCGTGTAATATTTTAGAAGGTATTGACAGGTAAAAAATATTATATTATGCATGAACAATTTTTTACATGAAAAAAGAAAGATTTAAACAAAACTCCTATTTTAGACCGTTTAGTGCCTCCTTCAACATGTAACAACAATGTGGTATAAAAACTAATAACTTTTTTATCAGTTAATTATTAGGTATATAAGAAGAAGAAGAATCTTTATTTTGCAAATTAACTCTCAAAAGAGTCATGTACAAGCATTCATGATATATACAATTAAATGTATGCATAAGTAAATAACTAATTATATAGCAAGATGACGTGACTGCAAGTATTTCTTTTCTTTCATTATTAATGGTTACCATTGATTATATATTCAATTTACAAGTTATTTACTTTTTGAGAGATTCTACATTCAAATATATAATAATTAGAAATACTTCGTGTATGTATTAAACTTGCAATCTCGGAAGAGACATTGTCAGCATCTATTACATAGTATACTTTAAATTTTCTTCCATACACTGGTCTTTGTAGTACATTTACTAATCTAAGCTATATGGTTTTGATTTATTGCAATAGTAATATGGCACACAATATTGAAATTATACAAACAAAACAAAACAAATGTTAATTCTAAACTATACTTTTGAACACATATAATGCTTCAAACTTGATACAGGTAAGACCAGTGTATGATTTGAAACTTACAAATTTATAGCCTTTATAATCATCGTGTTACATAACCTATTATACATATAATACACAAAAATAAATTGCAATGTATCAATCATACATTTATATACAATTACATGACAGCTAATATTCGTACATTACACATATAGCAGTACAATACAATGTGTCAACTAACTTCTTTGTACGTTCGCATGGGGCTAGATATTCGCATAAAACATATTATAGAACTTTAAATATAAACATTTTTGTACCTTTACACGAGAATTGTTTGTAACTGTTGTCAAACATGGAAGGCTGGCTATATAAACATAGCTAAATTTCTAATATCATGTGCATTATCGCTTGTTACACAGGCTGTCCAGCGTCCCTAAAATTCCTAAAAAATCCTAATTTTTTTTCAGTTTGGCTAAAATTCCTAAAAAAATGAAAAATTCAAAGGGAATTCCTAAAAAAGCCCTATTATTTCACTTAAATTCCTATTTTTTTAGCTCGACTATTCGAAGAATATGAGAGCTATTGTAGTCGCCCCGGCGTCGGCGTCAGCGTCCGCGTCGGCGTCTGCGTTGGTTGAAGTTTTTTGTAAAGTCAAATATCTCAATTATTGCTCGAGATATTCAACTGAAACTTACAATACTTACTTATAGTAACAAGGTACATCAGTTTGACAAGTTGGATAACTCTGCCTACAATATTGACAGAATTATGCCCCTTTTTAACTTAGAAATTTTGGTTAAAGTTTTTTGTAAAGTCAAATATCTCAATTATTGCTTGAGATATTCAATTGAAATTTAAAATACTTATTTATAGTAACAAGGTACATCAGATTGACAAGTTGGATAACTCTGCCTACAATATTGACAGAATTATGCCCCTTTGGAACTTAGAAATTTTGGTTAAAGTTTTTTTGTAAAGTCAAATAACTCAATTATTGCTTGAGATATTCAATTGAAATTTAAAATACTTTTTTATAGTAACAATGAACATCAGTTTGCAAAATTGCATAACTCTGCCTGCAATATTTGCAGAATTATTTGCCCTTTGAAACTTAAATATTTTGGTTAAAGGTTAAAGGTCTTCAAAGATATTTACTTGAAACTTTACACATGCACTTAGGGTCATAATTGGAGGGTCATAATTGTATGTCACTGACCAAGTTCCTTAACTCTATCTTGCATTAAGGCTGATTCATATCCCCTTTTCTACTTAGTCTCTTGGTTAATGTTTACATGCAAGTTTTACATATCTCAATAACTATTAAAGATATTTATTTAAAACTTCACATATGCATTTAGGGTCATAATTGTAGGTCACTGACAAAGATCCATAATTCTATCTTGCATTTAGGCTGATTTGTCTCCCCTTTTTCAACTTAGAAATTCATGGTAAAGTTTTGCTTGTAAGCTGTTATCTCAATAACTACTGAAGGGTTTGTGCCATTTTTGGGACAATTTTATGCATTCATAATAATAAAGCAGTGATTTACTTGATAAAACATCTTAATAACAAGCCTTTATACCTTTTCTGTCAAATTTATGTATTCATAGGTAATTAGTATTATTATACTCAATAAAACACCCTTGTGACATTACCTTCCGAATAGTCAAGCCAATACTGTATAATTAGACTCTCTCTAAGGCCTATAACATGAATTTATAAACAAAAATTAGCCCTTTTGTGAACTTAAAAAATTTAACATTATCAAGGCTCTTTTACTATCAAGCACTTAGAATAGTCGAGCGTGCTGTCCTCCCGACAGCTCTTGTTATCTTTTGTGATAAACATATCGCGAAACAAACATGTTTCAATCACAACCTAAATTCGAACAGTCAGTGGAGCTGATGTCATGTCTGACTAAATTGCATAAAGTCACATGTTGTATTTACTTCAACTCCTGCAGAAATGTACTTGATAAATTGTCAGATGTTATCAGAAAAATAATAAGAAACTGTTTGTTTTAAATGGAACAATGAAAATTGTCTGACTTTGACTATATCAAAATTGTCACCTGTTTAAAATTTTGATAAAAAAATTTCCAAAAAAAAATTTCCAAGGAAGTTACAATTTTTTTTGGCTACAGAGTTATACCATTTACCTCAGTCTTAGGTGTATTCAAAGCAACTATTTACACGATGAACCACTAAATTTCATCAAACTTTATGTAGGGGTCCTTATTAATAAAATCTTAATTTGTAATCAAGTTATTTTCAAGTGATGACTGTATAACAGATCTTTTGCAAGTGATACCAGCTGGTAGATCTAGACAAGTTTCAATATTTGCTAATTATAAAGTGGGTAAAGTAAACTGGCAGTAATGATTGGATGCTTTTACCATATTGCTACCTAATTAGCATACTAAGGAGTGACACCTTCAGCTACCCTTTTTGTACACATTAACATGTTCTGAACATATAGTGTAAGTTTTTTAAAATTTGGAAAAAAACTGTTGAAAATCATTGAAAAAAGTGATACGGTTGTGAAATTTTCTACAATTTTTAGTAGCCTGATTTATCTTGAACAAATTCTTCATAGGAATATATACCCTGCTGTTTTAATATTCCTGGGAATGACTTGAGTGGGTCATGTCGTTTTTATTGTTTTTTAAGAAAGATCAAGACTTGTTGAAAATGTACCAACCTTAAAATGAATAAATGTTGAAAATGCATTTATAGCTAAAATAAATTTAAAGCATTATTTCCCCTTCCATTTATTATTGGCTAATCATAGCTTAACTAATTGAATATATATGTTGTTCCGGTAAACTTATAACTTTGAAAATGTTTTCATTCTAGTTATGTTTTAATGTAGTTTTTCGGCTCTTTTTAAAGGCAGTTGACCAGTGAATCCATTTCTTCACTGGTGACTATGGAATACTGGTAACACCTCTACTATAACCGAACTAGAACATTATTTGTGAGTTACTTTTGTGTCAAATATGCAAAGTTGAGTCCATATTATGGTCTTTTGAGACCATAATTTAGTAATAAATTCCAAATTTTAGCCCTTAAATTTCTGTTATTTACCCTAAAATTCCTAATTTTAGCCCTAAAATTTCTTAAAAATTGCCCTAAAATTTGCCCTAATTTTTTGTCAGTAGGTGCTGGACAGCCTGATTGTAATCAACTGAACAAATTTAAACATGCTAGGAAACCTCCAGTAATATTTCTTTTTTTATATACACACATGCATATTGTTAGTTATAATAAGATCATAGAAAATTCATTTCGATTTTTACTTTCATAGTAAGCAATATTGTAAACATCATTATCAATCCAGCATTGCCTATTCAAACATGATTCAATTGCAATTCAAGTGACCATTTTAGATTCCTTACTCAAATACAAGCCATCCTTTTCGACATTTACAGCGATATGCAAGTTGGGCAAGTTTACAAACTAAAAGTGACCACGAAATCTACCAGACATGATTACCTCACATGGTGTCGAATTTCTACAGATGAGTTATTAGTAGCTGACCGAATAAACAAAAGAGGTATCAAATTCGACAGCCAGTTCAAATTAGTATCGTGTCTACGTCTCAATGATTTGCCATTCAATATCTGTTACATACATGATAGGGAACTTGCAGCACTTCTTCTTGATACAGAAATAGTCTTCCTAGACGTAAAGGATGGCATGAAAATCATGTTTTCAGTAGAAAAAAACCACAACTGCGTAGGAATGCACTATCATGCTGATCAGTTGTATATGATTGACTCTAACACTGTCTATGTTTACGATCTGGAAGGTAATATGCAACGTGTTTTGTACACCAACAAAGCTGAAAACAATGCTTTTAGGAATCTTACACTTGGCAAAGACAATCAACTTATCTACATTACTTGCCTCTATAACGGCCTTATTACAATTGACATGTCTGGAAACCTCATCGGAACATATAAAGATTCTGACTATTGGAGTGCATGGGGAGTGAGTGTTGATGAGGCTGGAAATGTCCTAGTATGCGGCTATACTTCGCAAATTATTGTTCGGTTATGTTCGGATGGCCAGAGAAAGGTTAATGATATAGATAACAAATCAGAGGAAGAAGTAACAGTGACAACGTTGTTCTTTGACAAACAGACAGGTTTGCTACTAGCTTCAGGATCGTCAGGGAGCATTAATGTTTTAAAGTTGTAGTATGGTATCCGCCATATTGGAATCATACATGTCGGCTTAGAAATATAACTTTGTCTTATTTCTCTTATGAACAGTTATAAGATATATAGTTTAAAATGAAGCCAATGTTTTATTTTGTATTTTACTTTGCAGTGTCAGTTTTGATAGACCAATAAATCAATGCTTTCCACCAACAGTTCTTCCTCATTTGAACAAAAGCCTGCATGATTAATTAATTGGTCCCTTTTAATGAATTCCATAGAATAAAGTACCCATTTCCCTTCATTTCTAGTATAAGAATATATTTCGTATACATTGACGGTTGATATGTACGCATCTCAAAAGATTGGGTTTACATGTATATGAACATCTATTTGCAGGAAAATATAACACCGGTTTATTTTCTATAAAGTTAATAAAGTCATAATTTGCATCAATAAAGGGGTTTCCATCAAGTAGGAATTTAGAGCAAGCATCTGCATTCAAATGATTAACTGAAAAATACGTTCCTACGGGAACAATAAAATTGTCAAATTACCCAAACAAAATCACTTGAAGAATGATGCTCGTAAATAGTGAAAACAACAAAATTTATTATGAAAATTGCAGAGTTTGTTAAATTGAGTATGCTAGGAGAAATAATGTAGATGTGCAACATATCTTATGTTCTCTATGTTATTAACGGGAAAAATGTCCAGTCTAGGCAACACATGGTTAATAACGTGATTACAATGGATTTCCAGTGATGCTAATCCGGGCAAGCTCTGTTTTAGTCATTGTGATTGTGTTCAGGGGTAGGTTTTGAATCTTCTAAGGCCGCTGAATGAATATTCAGCCACTGATTTTGAGGTAGGCATTGTTATGAGTACTTTCAACATGGTTGGTACACAATTGGAAGAGCCAAGTGACTTGAATCCCCATTATTTGTTTTGATATCGGCGCTCTGGGATAAATGATGTTTCCATACCAAGTGCTTACTGTTTCCATTTCAATTAAATTAAGTATATGTGAAACAAATATATAACTCTTTCAATCTTAGCCTTCTTTTTCTTCTGCCAATAGATTATCGATGAAAGAGATATAATATTATTCTACAGGTTTCTTTCACAGTATCTGCTTCAAGACAAGGTCGTTGCATTGAAAATGCTAAACAATAAATCTTTGTTGGGTGACTGGAATATCTTTTTTGCTTATTGAGATTCACAGTTGTCTTCCACACCTGATTGTTTGAGTCAATGCCATCACTCATCTCGGCGATGGTACAATTACATGTTCTGACATTGAATTTTTGTTCTTTAATAGTAGATCACTCTTTACATACGAGTATTATAACATGTATCATGTTTTTGTTTAGCATGATGGCTGTTCGGTTTGTACATTTCTTTTATTTGATTTTATGTCAGACCGATATTGTAAATGTCATAGGTAGACCTTCAAGTATACAGGTGGAGGAAAACCTCAATGACCCTTTCGTGCATGATTATAGATATGAGCGGGAACCAATGCGAGCGTGAACAATTAAAGGAATGAATGTCTTACATATCTATGCAAAACTAAATGTGATACAGTGAAAACACTAGTAAAAGGCTTTTATTAGCAATTTACACCTTTGCATCTGATCAATTTCAGCAATGTATTACGTTTTTAAATATTGTATGCAATATATTGTCAAGGCAATTGTTTCTCTTCAATTAATTCCGCATAAAATGTTTATCATTTCTCTTTACTGGTAATATGGAATAGGAAATTCAAAAAGAGGCTTGATCATATTTATTGCAGTCAAGTAATATTGCGTATCCTATCTATGATTTAACATCGCAACTTCAAAAACTAAAACATCTTAAACTTACTCATAAAAACTTTATACTTTTCAACAAATAGAAAACTCTTCAGCTTATTTACCATTCTGTTTGCGCAACTAGGGTGGTGTGAAAAAGTACTTTTGTGCGACCCACTTGCGCAATCCAGTTAGCACAGAAATCATTGCACAACCTGAACATTGGGCGACATATTTAAAGTGCTGACACTGCCTAAACAACGGTCCAATTGGCTTCCAACTGGTTCAGATATTCATGCTTGTTGATGAACAATACAAACGTAACTTATGATAATTGAAACATTAATGGATTTGTTCACAATCAATTGCATAATTATCTGTTCAATAATGCAACTAAGTGCAAAATGTACTTGTATAAAATAAAAATATTTGTACTTTCTATGGCTTATTAATCTTATATTCTTACTTCTAATTTACAATTTTTAAATGTTAATTGTGACAATTTTTTAAACTTATTATCAACAGAAATCTAATCTCTCCACCTTCACAACATACAGCACGACATTTGAACCAAGTAAACTGTATATAAAAATTATGATAAATCAACTGAGGAAGCTGAATAAAGCAAAACATGTTTTGATACTTAAATTTGTGTTGGTTTTTGATCCAATTGTCCGATAAAGTAGTAAGGAATCCCAGTCATAAAATCTGATACGTCCAGACAATAACTGAGACGCTGAAAGACAAACAAAATAACTGAAACCATATACCTGTTGTCTAAGCGTCTCTTGTTGCGCGACCTCTCTTTATTTGGAACTATCATGCCCTGGAAAGCAGATTCTGTGAGACCTTTTGAATGAGGTATGATCATACCTAAAATAAGTAAACTGTACCAATGACCCAGACAGTTCATGACTGTACAAAATAGCAAAAAAAAAAAAACAACATTTTACCAGGTTAGAAATGTTGTCCAGATGAATTATACTATCCTAAAAGCATTTATTCAAGTAAAACTTCACAACAATATGTTTGTCCGAAAGAAAACCTTTACTAAACACCCTACATGTGAAACCTATGTGTATGAAGCGTGTTCCCAGAACTATATTACAATGTCCGCGGCAAATCTGATATCTGCCGCTTCTAGTAAATATTAGAGCATATCTAAGGAGGAGGTGTTAAATTGATAAACTCTCTTGTTTATTGTAAACTCCAATACGTACATGCAGACTCCAAAGACACAACTTTGTTAATTGATAAAATGCAATTGGATATATCTATTAACTACTTTTAAAATCACGTAATTCATTTTTAATAGATGGAAATATGAAACAGAGTCCATTTATGGAAAAATGAAACAGAGTCCAACAAGAAGAAGATTTCAAACTGGCTTCAGGGCGTTCGTTCTTTGAACTTGACGGCACGTAAAGCAACAATAGAAGAAAGAAGTATTGTCAAGGAAAAAAGATATTCCAAACATGATAATTAGTTTTATGACCTTTCTATAAAGTGTTGCCAATAATAAGTTAAATGTTTGTTTTATTAGTTAGATGCAAATACGAGGGCCCTCGTAATTCTAAATAGAAATCGAAAAAAGGCAAATGGCGGTGCGATTGTGACCATCTCGAAGAATGCAATATGATTCTTGATAAAATATTTGCACTGCAGCAAAAGCAATTATTTAATGTGGACCGGTCACTTATGCGAGAGCCAATCGAGAAAAAAAAATGTCAACAATAAAAGAGCAAACATATCAGAGAACATACCAAAATCATCGAAATGAGGATTTAAATCAATTTGGCACTTTACGATTGGGTCTCGACATAAGGCTCGTAGACTGAGCCAACTACTATAGATACAACGTTATATCATTTCCCTAGCTGCCAACGTATTGTAAACCTGCTCATGAGGGAGTAATGAAGATGCCACCTGTCTCTAAATGTGCTCTTCCAAATTTATACAATATATTATTTACTAAAATCTTTTCAAGTCATGAATACACAGATTTTTCTAAAATTTTAGACACAATGCTTACAAAATATCAGATCTATATTACAGTTATATTTGTTTAGATGGTGACCTGCCAGTGACTTTGGCTTCTTTCTCGTGAGGAAGCAATCCAAGTAGCTTACAGAATTTCAGTCGTTCTACTCAGGTGCCCGTTCGTGCCTGAAGTAATGCACAGAACGGCACCTCAGGTCTTCCTCCCTTATCTAAGCTGGAAAGTCGCAATATGACATTTAATAAGTTGGTGTGACGTAAAAGTCAACAAAAAATTGCTTCAGATTGAAATGGTGACACTTGCTATGCCCAAGTCTATTTGTTTGTTTGTTTGTTTCATTTTACGCCTTTTCCCAACAGTATTTCAGTCATATCCTAACCATTGTTCCAAGTTTATTTGTAGTCAACGATAAATGCTTTCTTCCTTCCAAATTTTCAATGTTGCCCACACTTCCCCTCAATGCCGCACCACTGCACCTTCACCTATTATATAGTTTTTTTTCTTTTAAATATGTTTTCATTTAAACTGAAAAATACATAAATTTAAAATCAAATAATCCGTAGACTTTGTTAAAACATATATCGAGTAACCAAAATAAATTTACTAGTAATCCAAAATAAAAAAAAATAAAAAGTAACGTTATCAATTTGTTGCCAGTTATATCCTTATGGTTGAGCTCATATGTGAAGTTTTCAATTCTAACACAACAGCTTCACTGTCACATATCAAAATGGCTCATCATCATTATTTCATTTACTTATTATAAAAAGAGTACCACATAATGCCGAAGAGACATTTTTTTAAAAAAATGCCTCCAAGAAAACCAGACATTTTTGTAAAGAAAATATTTGGAAATTATTCATTGACCAAATGTCAAATCAAATCAACTCAAAATGAAAACTGGTAAAATTGATTTTCTTACTCATATTGAAGTAAAACATTATTTGTGACGAAGCTGAAATTGACTTTACAAAAAAATATTTGCCTCAAGATACAAAGCAGTTGTTTAATATCTTGCTGGAAATATTTTGATGACAGATTGTAGAGTATAAAACTAAATTAGGTTTACAAAGATTGTTTTGAGTGCACAAACACAATGGAAGATTCCTGTCGCTAGACTTAAGCGCGCGAATATTGTCAGCAACTGATGATTTCCTTTTTAAACAAGTTATAACGTTATATTTTGTTATGATAGACGGAGGACATATATTAAGATAATTCTCCCATTTTATTGTTTTCAAATAAATAGTTAGATAAGCCTTTACCCAATAAAACTGCACGTGACAGGTTAACATCTACAAGTAAAATCGGAAGTCCAAACCCTGCTCTCCTTCCAGCGCCTTATGTATTGAATCTTAAAGCAAAACAAATACTCAATATTTTTAAGCACAATACAAGCAACGATCTACGGGGAAAGTTGAGGAAACAAACAG